GTAATAAATTTATGCCTTCTTTTTTTCAATTTTTGCTTTTTTATTTATTTATTTATTTATTTTTTTTTTCATCCCCATTCAATCTCGTCAACTTTAAACGGAAAGTTAAAAAAATAATATTTGCAAAAATATTTATTCAATATTTAGTCTTGTTTTCTATCTTCTCTCCATCTTAATCTATTGATAGATAATTGAATATTTTAAAGTCATTTCGCAGACTCGCTTTTCATTTTTCTCTTCAAAACGAACTAGACTAGACTAGTAAATATTTTGATCTAAAATTTGTGGAAAAATGAGCCATGCATATTATTAACGATGATCTTTGCAATCGATTCTAAATGAATGTTCAAGACCTATGGCCGCGATTGTGAAAAAAATCCCCATTCCAATGAATATGCATAAATGCATGAATGTGTAGATATTCGTTTAAAACAACGAGTTACGAATACATTGATCCGCTTTATTGACAAAAATTTCTCATCCGGATATTGAATATTTTGCAAAAGTTGAACTGAGATGTTACTTCGACCTCGAAGCATATGATTAATCCAAACATATAAGCTTTTGCACGATCACATGCAGTCATCAAATCCGTTCCACATATCGTGGCTGCATAGAGTTTTACAAATTTATTGTGATTTCTTGAAGAATTTTCCGTTTCATTGTCGCAAAAAAAAATTCCGCTTTGAATAGCTTTGAATAGAAAATAGAGATGTGCTTGACAAAATTTATTTGATATTTTTAGGAGATAGCGCTTACGAAATTTCTTCGAACGAAGCAGTCTCCTCTTCGCATTTTTGTAAATTGGCCTATCCGATTGAAATTCTGAAATTAATTTACTTGGCCCTAATACTAATACTTGGGAATTTTTTTTCGCAAAATTTTGAATATCTGAAATTTGCTTTATATAGCAACTTTTTCAAAATAAGACATTGGGAACGATTCGAATTGTAGTCTCCTTCCATCTATTAGGGTTCGTCCTTGGCCCTAATACACATAAGGGTACCGAATTTTCTTATAATATCGCATGAATTGCAACCTGTATGAACAGACATTAGACGGAGAGGTAAATACAAAAACTTAAATCGATTCAGAAATTGCCTCTTAATCTGTTAGCATAATAAAAGGGGGGTCTATCTTCAGTCCTTTCGGGTGCTACATATATCCGCGGACACTTAATTTGCCCTGTACGGTAACTGGTGCACGATATAATATAATAAGAAAAGGAAAAAGAAAGCTATGCACAAACTATGAACAAAATTATGAATAATGAAAAATTTGATTTCAAATTTTACACACTTCATGGCTATTATTAAAAATTTCCGGAATTTATCATAAGATCGATCATATTATATATTTTCCATTCGTATCAAATGGCCTTTATTCGAAAGTGTGATGCGCATATAAAATTTTATTGAAACGTAAGACAAAGAATTTTTTATTTATAAATCATGCTCTAATGACTCCATAGTACAGTTAAATAGTTCACTTTTGCTTATACAAATTTACTAGGAGTATATTTAAAATTTCTTTCATTTTTCTTAATGTGAAGTCAAGTTTGAAATGTCCATTGATTTCATTTGACTTACAATTTTTTTTTTTTTTTTAATAAACATTTCAAAAAAGTTTTCAAATTTGAACTAAATTTCATTTGAAATTATTAAATTATATATAAATAATATATAAATTATTAAATATACATATATATATATATTTAAAAAATTTTTTTTTTGTTTTGTATAACCATTCACTCAGAGGATGTTGCGGGCACGGTAGTGACCAGGAAGAGCTATAAAAAAAATGGGTTTGAAGGCGATCGAGTCGCGTTGGTGAACGTGTCGTTTTGAAAGTGAAGACATCAGATACGGCAGGAAAGATCACTGCTGTCAAATATATTTGAATATCTCGTAAGCAAGGTTTTGGAGAGAACAGAACAGTATGTTGAGTTTGTCGTTGCGCTAATGTGCTGTTAACTTGAAGAATTTGAATTGAAAAGATGTGCATTAATAAACGACTGCCTGCTTATTGTCGGTAAATAAATGATAGTAGATGACGAGAATTTCTTTAGTGATTTGCCCAAAATTCAAACTGAACTGAATGAAGCTTTCATTCACATATCATTACATCTAACATGTTTCCATTACCTTTAGCTTTGCGTACATAATTACAAGCAAGCGAGCAAACAAATAAACAAACGAAATAGTTTTCTTATGCTCTTTATTGTATTATTATTATTTTTTTTTTTTTATAATTTTATTTTCTCTTTCCCTACGCTATTGTATTGTATTTTATTGTATTGTTTAAGGAACTATTTAACTTTGAAGTAAAATATATATAAAAATATATGCGTTTCTTTCTTATAAATGTGTATATGCGTATGTTTGTATATTTTAGTTCTCATTGTTAATGAAAACAAATATCATAAAACATTGTCAACATTCTCTTTTAAATGTGTACAATAAAAAGATAAAGTGGGAGTCTGAGCCTGAGAAGTGAGATCGACTGTCAAAGAAAAGCCCAGTGTTTGCATGTGTATATACGCTTACAGTGAACGGTATTTGACATCAAATCGTGAACAGTAAGTGTTTCAAGTTTTCCCATGACAATTTTATTTATTTATTGTCTGTTTATTGTTTACGTTTAGTTTGTATATATACATATATATGTTGAGTGCACCGCGACGATCTGAGAAGGTTAGTTACACTTAACAAACGTTCGCGTTACGAAAACTAGCAATAGTTAAATATATAAAGATAAACTCACCGACATCTGATTAACAAATGAAAAAGAAAAAAGTGTACATTAGATCTCAGTGAATCCATTCGATATATATATATATATGCTATATGCTATACTTGATGATGATTTAAATTTCCATGAAAATTAGCCGATTTTCTAAGAAAGGAAATTGCAAAGGAAAGGGGAAAATCAAGTATGCATTCACGTAGGCGCGTTGCCTACGTCATACAATTGGCGACTGACGTAAACGTCAACAGCAAATTGGCAGTAAATTTAGATGGGGAACGGATTAACGGACTAACGGATTAAAAGTGTAGAGATGAATTTAGGTAATGGTAACCTGCTTGTAAGAGGACATTTAAGCAGGAAAGTTACGTCAGTTAAGAGAGTCGAGAGAGCCGAATGTGTCGAAAAGTGAGTCGAAGGTCAGTCCAGCGAGTTGCATTCCAATATTTGAACGGACAAGATTAGAATAAATGAGCTATAGCTTCCCGTAAACAACGCAAGTACACATATCTCCGTGTTTTGTAAAAGAAACCTTAGCTGGTCGAGCTTAATCTAAAAAGAACTCGAATCAATAACGTAAAATCACAAGAGACGGGTTACGTTCCACTATGCTCCAAACGGTAACAAATCGCAAAGCAATTAAATTAATTCCAAATTAATTAATTTTCTCTTCAATTTTTTTCTGTTTGTTTTCTTCTTTTTTTTTTTTTTTATTAAAGTTGAAAGAACTTTTAGCGAACAATGTAACTCGCGAATAAGTGAATAAGATCAACAAAAGATAGGCCTTAATGACTGAGTCCCCAACGTTATACAGTGTGACTAGCATTCAATTTCTGTTCATCGCAAGTCAAGTGCTTATTATTAAGATTTTCGGGCGAGAATGCAACGCTTGAAATGCGTTACAGCGAAGCATCTGTCTGTGATGCCAGTAACTTTCTGGGATATGAAGAGAGCTTCGAGCAAACGTGCATGTAATAAACTTAAAATTTATGCAAGTGCTTCCACAATGTTAACTGTAGGATAGTGCGTCGGCATCAGATGCCGCTTTGAATGATATATAAAGCAAATATTGGTTTTGCTCGTTTATCGTTCCGTATTGACTCCCGATATGTTCGTTTGCATAGTATAATTGTATTAGTAAATACCCTGTGATATAATGACGAAAGCATACACACACACATATATATATACATATATATATATATACATATACACACAAACACATACACAAATAGACATGACACAAATGAGGATACGGGCCGAAATGCAATTTCACATTTTTACATTTATTTATACATGTACTCAATAGAGTACATGTCCATCCATCTTATGTTGTGGTATATGAAAAGTAACCAAACATACACTAAAACGTACTTATGCGTAAATATTTTGTTTGCATGGAAGAGCATATTTCGTCTCGTTTTCGGCACTAAAATGTAAAACGTATGCATAGTTTACGAACAAAGTAGAACTTTATAACACATACATACGATGCATCACAGCATAGTTGTTAAGAGGACTTAGCTTTATATGTAAGAGAAAAACAAGACATCATTAATTTCTCAATTTTGCGAATCTGCATCGGCTGCGTACTTTGCTGCGATCGATTGTTATATGCTTACTAAACTTCTCTCTTATTTCCATTTATTGTTATTACTATATTTGTATTGGCTATGCTGTTGATCAAGAATTGTGGACTGATTACGCTCTACTTGATATTTTTTATTTACAGCTCAAGTATGCTGCTATGAAGTCTGTTCCTGAGAAAAATCTTATCTTTTAGACTTTTCTGCATATCTTATAAAAAAAGGAGAAAAAAAAAATTAAAATTAAAAAAAAAAAAATTAAAAAAAAAAAAAAAAAAAATTAAAATTTAAAAAAAAAAAAAACAATAATGATAATAATAAACAAAAATCCAAAAAAAAAAAAAAGAAATAGAAACTTGAGAGGATGCATCTTCTGCAGCAATCAACAAATAGTGTGTTCAACTAATTTCTCACCTGCATTGATATTTACTTTACATAAGGTATAAAGTACATACATACATACATACATACATACATACTGCACTCGATGTTCTAGCTGCCCGTCAGTCTTCAAGCCTATTACACTGTCATCACGTTGATAGGCAGCAACAGCAAGATTTAAACTAAATTTGTAGATGCGCTTTGAAATTTATCGATAGATTTAGAAAATAGTTTTTCATATTAACATTTCATTGTATCAACAAAAGTTCGTGTTAGTCATAGCCAGAATTAGTTTTTCGATTTTTTAGACTTGTTCTTCCTTCCGCAATTACATAATTTCCGATAATTCTTTATGACCTTCGGTTTCGATTTCGACTTCGGTTGCATCTCTGGCAATTTAGAGATACGTCGAAGTATGGTTGTATTACATGTTCCTTTAGAGTCTACCGGGTTTCGTTTAGGTAAATCTTTTTTCATTAATTTTTCCAACTTTTCTTCATTATCCGAGCTCGCGTATACAATATCTTCGCATTCGTCACTAGATGAAATGATCAGTTTGTCTTCGTCATCGGTTGGACATTTGCAACAATCAGAGACCGCTGAATCACTTGAGCTATATGAGATCAAGCAATCAACGGGACACTCATGGAATTCCGGCTTTCGTATAAATGGATCTGGCCGTTCAGCTTTATCCATACGAACCCATTGGCATTGAAAAGGACCTTGACTACAGTCTGTAGCTACAATGCCGGTGGTGGGATCTATATCACAATCACAGATAATTTTCGGACAATCACACTGATAGCAACGCGGCAAGTTTGAGTCAACGTTTTTCGCTTCTTTCCTTTTCCTCCTCATCTTCTCCTCATACTCGCATTGCTCGTAACTTTTTACATTTTCGTATTTTTTCTTTGCAATTTTAGGCGGGCATATTAAATTACATGGAAGGGGCAGTTTAAAGCAGCTAGCAGCAATCGGTAATCTTTTAGGCGGCAAAGTTTTCAAATATTCTTTGAGCTCATTGGTGCGTTGACATTTTTGTACGCACTTTTGTTTTTCCTCTTGATATTTTGGAGGAGATTGTGTGCCAATTATAATTCTTTTCCTACAGCCTCTTGGATGATAATCTTCCACAATTATAGGATCTGCTCGCTTATATAAACATTCGTATAATTCCCTATATGTTTGAAAAATTCTTTCTTTATAATTTGGACAAGCTTTAAAAAATGCATGCCGATAATGTTCGAAGACGCGAATAGATTTCCTTGCAGCATGCTCCCAAGCATATCGTCGCTCTTTTATGACCAATGCTTCAATTATAGCGCTGCGTATACTGTGATCGGGTGTTTGAAGGAAGAAAGCCTTCATAACTCGTTTGAGTAGTGCATAAGCCAGTAGACCTTGCAAGCGTGACATCCAACATCTACACTGGAATTCGTCCACTATATCTTTACGATGTATGCTACCATCTTCTTCTGGCTTAACACAAAACCGATGACGTTTCACATCATAAAATTGAAATGCTTTAACTACAATTGAACGGGCAATCCTCGCCTTGCACGTTGGTATACCGCAAATTCTGAAAATCTAAAAGCGAGAAAGCAAAACAGAAAATTAAAAAAAAATATGAAAAGAAATAAATCATTTCGCTTTCAATAGATGACGAGTTACCTCCACCAAGGCATCGGATATATCCAGCACGTTTTCGATAAACAGGGGATCAAATTGTCCGCTAGGAGTACAGACACTAAAATCATATTTATAGTATGGACTTTTGGGAGGTTGACGCTTCATTTGTAAATTTATTGTTTTTTTTTTTTGTTATTCTTTATTTTTTTTTTTTTTTTTAATTCTTATGCTTACGAATAATTTTGTGACAGTATACTTAAAATAGAAAAAACGAAAAAATGGCTTAACGAAATGACGCTTCGATAATTAATTAAACAATTTAATTGAAATATTCTGTCAGGTGCTGTCATCAAAGGTACAGAGATTATAATCGTTTATGCGTGAAAAGTTTCTCGAATTCCATAAAACAATTTGATTTGCACATCATCGCATTTTAGGCTTTTTCAACTGATGCGATTATATGAGCGTGTTTGCGTATTTGGTCTTGTTAACCCCTTACTTTGCCTATGCACCGAACCTGAAAGCTTCCTGATGATGTAGACTTACATGAAAAACGTCGCCTTTTTCCATTAATGCCATGTAAATGTGTTCTCTTTATAAATTTTGTTACGTTAATCGTTTGATAGGTGAGAATTCATGAACACTTACCGTTATTTTGGCCCAAATTACGCGTAAGCTTGCACGAGTGTACATGAAAGGGAATAGTGGTGTTATAGCGTCGTTAATGTCGCTGACTATCACTATGTTCAGTTTGAGTTAAAAATAGACTTTTATTAATGCCTCTGAATTCCTCTGAATACACATCGGTGCTATTTTATGTTTTTTCTTATTTTTTTTGTTTTTTTTTTATTTGACTGTCATCACTGCTTAAAGCAATTAATCATGTTGAAGAGACGCTAACCAAAACAGCAACAGTAACAATAATAACAAAAATTTCATTTTATTTTTGTTTTTTTTTTTTTTTTTTTTTTTGATTTTTTGTGATTTTTTACGACCAACATGTCATAACAATGAAATCCAACAACTGTGTGACCAAAGTGGCGCATTCATCAAACTCATAAAAACATTTAGTGAAGAGTACGCAGCGCGACGGCAAAAGGTCTCTGTACTTGGGGTCCATGTGGCAAACAGACTGTTAAGAGAGCAGGCAGGAAAAGCGATAAACTTACTCACTAACTACATAACTCTCCGTGTGGCTGTCTGCCTAACTGACCAAACGAAAAGGAAGACGTTTTCTTTCTGACATATTCATGTCAAATGCTTTGATGACAGAGGCGTTTTGCTGCTTTCGGAAGTGTCTTTTACCCCACAATAAAAACGCTAGTTATTCGATGGTTATCTATGGACATATAGTATATACACTAGTATATACATATATACTATTTTTGACAGCAATGCTTTCTTTCTTTCTTTCCGCATGTTGCAATCGTTCGGCTCGTATATCCTGATCTTTGTTTTATTTCAATCCATCAAATTTTAATACTGTTCAGTATAAATTTATTATTTTATATCTTGTTCTATAACCATTTCACTTGGACCTGACTGAATGATCTCTTCTCGCAATCCTGATAAGTGTGTAACAAATAACGCCAGTCTTATCACGCAAATTTATTACGATTGTTACGTTCAACACCCACGACAATCGTAGGCCATATAGAATACGAATAACGAACGGATCCCTAAAAAAGAAAAATGAAATATTTGCTTTACTTTATTTTAATTTTAATATATTTGCTGTTTTTTTTTTTTCTTTCTTTCTTTTTTTTTTTAAGATTCGTCGAGAGAACGTGCTTCAAAAAGTTCAAATTTTACCAATAAACAATTTTTTTTAAAATTCATTACACCATACACCACTTGCGGTACAGGGTATATTAGATTTAGGCGAACGTACGTAACACGCAAAAGAGGTTAAGGTAGACTCAGCTTTATTATACCAATCGATTCAGAATCATTTTCTGAAAGGTGTCTGTCCCTCCGTCTGTATATCCGTACAATGTCTGTCCATGTATATTTGTATTCAAGCTCTAGGTCGCACATTTTAAGATATTTTCATGAAATTTGGTACGCTGACGTGTTTTCACCCAAGAACGAATGCTTTTGAAAACCGTTTAGGTCGGTCTACTTTTTCAACCATTTCATATGTAGCGCCCTATCTAAATATTGCAATTTTCTAAATTTGACAACGTAAGTAACTGCCTAAGTAAGCGGATTTCGGCATTGTATATTGATGTAAAAAGTTTGGACTGTTTGGATGATAATCAGATTATAATAGTAGTGTAAGATAAAAAACGCAATAGCATTATAGTGAGGCAAGGCCCACTATTAAATACTCTACAGATTGTCTAACAAAGATCTTATTTTTATTATAGAACAGAGAAATTGTATCATGTTTCTATACCAAGGCACATTTTGTATGTGCGTATATATGGGGGAGCGGGCCCAAAACGCAACTTAATTTAGTACAAGTTTAATCCTTAACATAGGACAAGGTACAAAAAGGGTAGGTGGTTCAAAATTCCACTTGGATAAATTTTCATGAAAATCGTTATTAGGATGGGGTCCAAATTTTTTATATTAAAAATACTATTATGATATAATTTTCATTTTGTTGTATGAACTTTAGGTTTCGTTATATGGGAGTGGGTTCAAAATTTGCCAAATCCGGTCCAAAGTGTTCATACGAATTTAGAATGCCAATATACTATCACTTAGCCACTTTTGCCAAGAGATTTTTTAAAATTAAACTTTTTTTCCGTATAACGACTTTTCAGAGTATTTGCGTTATATGGGGAGTGGTTGAAAAAGTGCACCGGTCTGAACCATTTTCAATAGCGCCCGTTCCTGGATCAAAACACGTCACCATACCAAACTTCATCAAAGTATCTCAAAAATTACGACCTGTAGCTTGAGCACAAATTTACATGGAACGACATCAGACGGACAGGCCGGCTTAGATCAATTCAGATTACGATTCTGAATCAATCAGAATAATAAAATGTCCGCACTAACTTAATATACCCTGTATTAACTGGACAACCCACATCTATTTTGGGATCCTAACCTTTGTAAGGATTTGCACGAAAATTTTGGTTGTTAAGCTTTAATACGTTATGATGAAAACTGCTCTATAATAGCAGCTTAATGTTAAAATTATCTATGCTGAATTTTGAATACGTGCCACAACCATTCTTACAAAAAGTAAGCATTTATTTGCAAAGCAGTTCCAGTTCCAGATAGTAAATTGATATGGAAATAGAGTATAATTTTTGCATTCTATGGCATAAGTACGAATCGTGTTAGACAATGTTGCGTGTAGGCCCAGCCGCGATTATAATGTTTTCACTTGTTTTAAGTAAGCGAAAGGCATTTTTTGCAAATTTCCTACTACTTGTTCACCCTCCTTCTTGCTTTCGCAGCACTTTCTAACTAAGCGTTCCTCCGTCTGTTCTGCCGTCTTTTTCTTTTTTGTTTTCTTTGTGCTTAACATTTTCGATTTGGTATATTTTTATATTCAATTGTTGTCAGTGTGACGAGCAAATTGAGCCAAAAAAAAAACAAAAAAAAATGACACATTTGACTTGTGCTGCTTCTTTCCTTTTCGAATATTAAATGTAGTGTAAAATTTAATGAAACATACACTGAACAGTTCATAATTCATGCCAATTTATTGTATAGCCAGAGATACATGTACCGTATATGTTCATCTGTTTGTTTATTCATATATCCGTCAACGTTGGCCCACAATCGAATCATCGATGACCGCCAGTAGGTAGATATTGAGCTAGTTGTTTATCTCAAAGTATTTTAAAAACTTAATCGATCGAAACGGTGAGCTGAACCGAAATTAAAAATGCGAAAGAGAGTGCATGCATTACAATCATATCCATATTCATGGCATGGAAAATTCATGAAGGTTTTCAAGAAAACTTGTTCATATATTCAGAAGCATGAAAATAATTTCCATGCAATAAAATTGTGATTTTTATGATGTTTCATTTTGCGAATGCATGCATGCAATGTGCGGTCGGTCGTATATATACATATGGGTGTATATGTATATGCGTATATATGTTGCATAGAAAGCTTAAAACTTTCACATGCATAAATAATTTGCATTCAAAGGACGAGAAGACAGTCACAATCATACAGACGCACCCGTTAACGCATATGCCTTGATATTGCTGAGTAACACGTTACTAAAATTTTCAAAATTTCAAATGTGCCACATGTTGTCACAAAACATTTACTGAAGAATGCAGAATGGATTTTATTCGTCTATCTCGTTCATTCTAGCTTGTATTCAACAACAATATATACCAGAATAATATTGGAATTTTATTAATTTCTCAATGACAAAATGGCACTTGAAGCCATTGAATTACGGGCACGAGAATAGCAAGACATCATAGCAAATGCACTACAAGTGTTAGGTCAAATACCAAACTGTGACACAATCACCACTACTGGCGCAACCACGACATATATGATGCAGTTGCATTAACCGACCCGACCAACTTCATTTCTAACCGACAACAAAAATGAAATAAAACAAATAAGAGAATTATATCAACTTTAAGACGAATCTTGGATACCCAGCAACTGAGCATTTCTCTCTCATCTTGCTCGACTCTTTCGCTTACTACATTATGGAAATTATTCATTTTCGTTTTCAAGTCACTTAGTGCAAAATCATTTTGTGCAATCGCTTCTCAGATTTCGTAGCTATGAAGCAGGTATTCTTAAGCATATTTTTATTGCATTCCTTATCATTATTATCGGCAAGAATGAAAGATTTTTGCTTTCCCTTTCTGATCAATGATGAACAAGAAATGCGAAGACCTACAAATGAATTCAAAATTGCATTATATGGTCATTTATTTATATATATATATATATATATACATAATTGACGGATGCAAACGCCGTAAGTCAATTAATATGCCGGCACACTTGGGTCATAGATTTGAGAAAAAAAAAAAAAAAAAAAAAAAAACATAAAAAGGCATTTCTTTCGTTCTTTTTTTTCTCCGCAACAACAGCACAACAGCATATTGACCAACAGAGTTTTTAATTAATTTTTGTCCAATGGCCACATCATTGACATTTACTCCATATGTTGTTGTTACTATTGTTTATGTAAGTCACCGCACATTAAATGAAAATAT